GGGGGTGACATTGTGTGGGAAGTTACACTACACTCAGATTAAAATGGTTGTAATCTATCTACTGCTTTCTTTTCTTTTCTGAATCTGTGTGTATATAATGCTCCAGTTGTCCAGTTTGTTTTAAAAATAAGCCATCTGGTATCTGCATTCAGTCATTCATACACACACATACCTGTTGCCAAAGTATTATGAAAGATATCAAAATGGCAGTGGAAGAAAAAAAATCCAGCTGAACACTAACTGGAATTCATCCCAACTTGGACTTTCCATTGGGAAGAGACTTGTGTAGTGACTTAAGTTCCCATTTTCTTTGATAGATGAATTTAAGTTTACAACTGAAGGTAGATGTGGGTATATTTGATTCATGATGGAGTTCTGCTGATGCAAAATAAAATGATTAATGAAGTATGCCTGATTAAGGAAATGGGGTAATTCTCATGCACCGCCTTTGTATTAAGTGCAGTGGGTGACCCAATTTCTCCTGGTGCACATGATCCACAAATGTGGTTCATGTGGAAGAGACACCTAGGAACATCTCATAGCAGGTAGGCCATATTCTAACAGCCCAAGTGGTTTACATTTCATAGATGGAAACGTAAGGGATGCTGCAAGAGTTTGTGACTACTGTCACTACAGACATTTTAGGACATGTTTTAGTTCTGAGGTGCTATTAAGAGAAGCAAGGCCTGTCAGGTGTGAAGAGCCATAATGAATACTCATGTTCTCAGCTTAAAAATATTCAATTTAATTCTCAAACATCCTTGTTGCATAATACTTTTTTAAAAGGAACAGCAAAGAGGCATCTATGAAATGTATCACATTGCAAAGATTTTACCTTTTTTATGCGGTACAGAAAGCAAATTTCAGATTTGGTTAACCTATTCTTTGTCTAGAAGCTTGGAGAGATCCATTCTGGTTTTTGCAAGAGCTGCTGTTTTGGTTCGGCGAGATGGTCTCGAATGTGCCAGGGAAATGGGTTGCTGAATTTCTCTGCCGCTAAAGAGAGACATTTGAGATGTGATGGCTTCAATAGGACACACACGGCTCTTTTCAAGTTAGAAGCCCCCCTTTGTCATTTAGCTTGTTAGGACAGCTCCCCTGAGTTCATTTTATTAAAAAAATACATACATGGGCAACTGAGTCATAAATTTGTTTATAGGAGTAAGTTCTATCTAGTTGGACATGCCTTTCATTGTTTTTCCAGTAAATAACATTAGACAACTTGCTTATTAGGTACAGATTAGTCTTTCTGTGGATGCCTTTGGTCAGTTTATTGATT